ATTCCGCTTTGCTGCGCAAAGCAGCGACCTCTCCTCACTCAATTCAATCCTTCATAGATCAAAGGTAAAATTAGCAAGATGGCACCCAGCTTGCGAGTGGTCTGTGCAACTTCCTATGCTCAATTCTCCAACCCGATTTGATGCCCAAATGATTGGCGGGGGAGGCGGAAAAGGACGACGCTTTCATGCAGACTTATCAAGCAAAACGTCCGCCTGAATGTTGACGTTGCACATAGCAGCTTTCATGGGGGTTGTGCGATACACCTGCTAATGTGGTTGCCAAGGGGTGACAACAATAGCAACCACACCTTGATTGAAAGCAAAGTGGAAAAGCTGGAAGCTATGTGTTCGGAAGCCAACCACAAGCAGCAGAGTTGTTCTCTCCCCTCCCAACCCTCGCCGAGCAAACGGCTTGGTATTCAGCACAATCTTCTGTCCAAACTCCTGCCCAGCGCTGTCGCGGAATCAGCGGTGCCAAAACGATCCCAACAAGCACTGCGCAAGTGGCTTTAGCGTTGGCCGAGACAAAGTCCTAGATAGTTCAGGAATACTACGTGCATTGTCTACAGCTTGTACATACTACATCAAATCCTTGATGATCTACTTATTATGAGCAAACACTCATAATTGTGTTTACTATCTTTTCAGCTCGTGGGTTGCGCCTTGTCATCTCATTGTCTACTGTATCTACCCAACAAATTATTGGAAGGAACGCCATTTCCCAAAAGGAGTTTCCTCTACAAATGGATTGATTTGTCCTTGGCCAGGCGCAGTTCCACGTTGCACCAGGCCTGAGTTTGAAGCGCTCGAGCTGAGTTTGGCAGGGTCCATTTGGCAAGAAGCAAACCCCACCAATAAAGCCCATGTCAGCTTTGCATAGGAGAATCCATCTGGACATGCTGGGCATTGCAGTTTCAAGGTCCTTCTGGTGTCCTTTGATTCGAGGGCTTGGCTTCGTACGAAGTGAGAAAGTGGCAGCTTGCAACGCATCGCGCAGTAACATGGGGGGAGAGCTACGGCAGTGGTCTCCTTGTGGAAACCACAGACATGAGATATACGGGTATGTGTTTTCCTCAAAAATGGTCGCCCTTTAAACCACAATGCCCTCAAAAAGACACATAGGCCTATACATTTCAATTCGGGGTCGATATGCCCTTCCGGGCTCCGATTTCGCGGCTAAGGCACCAGGCCCGCAGCAGAGCAGAGCCGTCTTGGCCCACGCCTCCGCGCTCACATGAAGACACCCGTGCAGAGCGGAGCCGTTGAGCCGGGAGCCTTTTTGTCAGGCCGAAAAGGGGCGCAACTGCTCAACGGTTGGAGCAGCCACTCACTGATGTTGTTTGGCTTGCGATGTAGTTGACCCGGCCAGACCCTTAGACTTTGGGCTTTCTGCTTCTTGTTCTAGGAGCTTCCAGTTCAAGGGGTGGCTCGGGGGAGCCGTTTTCAGGTTCTTAGGTTACAGGTCCAGGAAATAATTTGCCTTGTTGAACGATTCTGTGCACAGGTCTTCAAAAGTCTTCCGCAGATCCTCGCACCGCTTCAACACGACAGCAAATTGTTCCCTCTGCAGGAACCTTAGAATCGTTGTTTGGATTCCCCCTGGACGCGCTCTACCGGACACTCAAGCCCATGCTTGGGGTATCGAGTATCTGTTGCATCTTTGCAAGTGTTGAACATCCCACTGTGAAACATGATGCTAAACTCAAGAGCAGGCATTTCAACATACTCAAACGGCCCGACGTTGCGGAAAGGGACCATAACAATAGGTCGGGTCTGGACCATAACATTGGGTGCAAGATCGGGCACCACAAGTCTAACCTTCCGACGCCTACAAAATCTTGGCGCCCGCGCTCAGGAGCACCGTTTTGATGCTCGGAGAAACAAGTACCTGGTAGACTGCCGTGTCCTGACAGCACGGCACCAGGTCGCTTGCCATGGCGAGTCGCTTTGTGGCACTGGTGGCACCGGTCTTGTGGAATGAATGCCTTCCTTCCAACATTCCTCAGCCGCAGCGTTTGGGGGGCGTGACCGTCATATCCAGTGTGCACCTTTGGGTGTGCCTGAAACTGGGATTTGGACCCCGGTTTTCCTTTTGGTTTCCCGTTAAAACCATCCAAAAAGGGTATGCGCCCCATTGCGGCGTTTCCCGGGTTTCTGTTGTGCCGCGCTTCGGTGCAAGCTTTTCAGTCTCAGCTCCTCCAAGCTTGGGTCTGGGTCGGACCTCAGAGTCACATTCGACTGCCATGTCTCCAAACCCAGGAGAGCCACTTCAACTAACAAAATGTTAAAACCAGAATCCCCTCTTGGTGGTTTGGAGGCTGGTGGCTAGGTATTCCGGGAGTGTTTCCCACTTGCCCGCAGCGCGGCAATGGAAGTGCACAGGGGGGGTCCCCAAGGTCTTCCAAAACCATCGTCAGCGTCCATGCTGGTTTCTTCAGCCACCCGATTGTCAGCTTCCATGTTTGGAGGGAGGGTCTCTGTCACTGTTCAGCCTGCCCTAAGGTGAAGGCCACATCGAATCGGAAAACGCGTGGATGAAGAAGCTGCACTGCCGGGCAGAGGCCGCCGCCTTGTCCTGTCGACTCCAAACGTGCCTCGAAGAAATGAGTTCGTTCTACTCCAGTAAACAAACACTCTATCGAATAACTACTGACGTGTTGCTCCGATCATCATGACTTAATTTGGTTTCATTTCAACTTATTCGACAACCGCATTCTATTTGTTTAGGCCCTCATGGTAGCCTCAAGAGCTTTCACATCAGAACATCGAGTATGGGTTTGGCGCCTTTAATTCCTTCGTTGCTTCAACTGATGGCAAATATCCGGCACGACTGGACAAATCAGCAAGCATGTCTAGTCATATTGGCCAGTCCTGTAGGATGTCTACCAGGCACAAGGAAACAACGATCCCACCAGCTTGTTCTCTCCTGTGGTAACGCGGGCGCCTCCTGGAATACAAGGCTCACCTCCGATCGTTGGGCTGCAAGTTTGCCCTGTGCGGCACTCAAAACCATTGTGGCTCCTAATGCCTCGAATGCCTTGCTCCTGGCTGGGTGCGCTTTGCCCCTGGGATGCAGGGCATGTTTTGGCCCAAGCGACAGTCGCCTTCGCGGGCAAGTTGGATCACCCGAAAACTCCTTCCGAGAGCCGAGGGCCGAGGGCCGCGCCGCGAAGCGCGTGAGGCCCTGCACCAAGTCCCCGAAGTCCTCCGTCCAGGCGTGGCTCACGAAGTGCTCCTAGGCTTCGCACAGCAACGCCGGGCGCCGATAGAGAGAACACCCCCCAAACTTATGCAGTAGCCTTGTGTGAAGGGATGCCTTGATTTTTTTTTGACTTTTTTTCTTCCTTCCTGCAGGGTTCCTTGCATGCTCCCCATCGAACATCACCCCAAGAAGCTCAGCTGAGTTCCCAACATGCCACGCGACTTCTGAAGTGCGTGGCGCAGCTTGGATGATTTCAGTCCCCTGGTTCAGAAGGCTCTGGTGCCAATTGGGCGAGTGTCTGAGGGCCCTTTTAAGGTTGGCTCACAGGGAAGCCAAAACCCCTTTTTGGGGGGTCCCCCAACCGAAGTCACGCCCAACTCCAATCGGTTCTCAACTTCTCGCAGCTTTGGACAGTCGAGTCAGAGCTCGTTACGCCATGTTCTCAGGGATCCCGAGCAGATCAAGCCCAGCGGTTAGGCATCCCCGACACCCAAAACACGAGGCCCGCTTCTCCGAGCTGGGGCAAGGGTTTGCAAGCGAATCCGTCTGCCTGCAAGAGGCTTGGCTCTCAAATCAAACAAACATCTCTCAGCCAAGCACTTGGCTGTGAAACCCCAATGATCCCCATTGTGTATCTCCAATTCGTGACAGCCATCGATTGGTACGGCAAACCAGAGTGAGTCACAATCAACACCCGGTATTAGGGTTCTACCCAAAACGGCAAAGACATCGTCCACCATCATGCTCAGCTGACACATGTTGAAAAATGTAACATTACCCTAAAGCAAACTTGAGCACTCAAAACCTACCATGTAAAGAATCATGCGGGCGGTCGCATGAAGATGGCGAGTGTCTTTCTGTTAGTGGTTTCAAAAGGGGAATCCAAATGGAAAACCACCATATTATGTAATATGGTGTCTCCCTTCCCTTTTTGGTGAGCCGAACTTCGAGTTCCCAAGCCCAGCCGAGTCTCTGCTGGCACGAGTTCGCCCTCGTTCCAGACCTCCGCCATGCTGCAGCGCCGGGCCTCCGTCGTGGGCCTGCCGCAAGCGACCCCAAGCGACCCGCTGATGCTGCTGGATGCTAAATTGTGCCATAGGAGATCTGCATCCGTTTTCGGAACTACGCACCTGCATGCTCTTTTCTTTGGGGAAATTTGAGAATGGGCTGCCACGCCTTTTTGACAATTGCCATGTTGGGGACACCGACCATCTTCCTACAAACATCGCCCCAGCCGAAAGAAGCCACAAATCAGTTCTTGCAACTCGCGGAAACTGAAATGTCGCGAAATGCCAATCTAATCTTTCAGGCTCCCGTCGGATCTTTCAGCCCAACAAACCTGAGCCTCCCGTCGGGTCTCACTTATTTCACTAGCTTCCGGCAGGGTTGCGTTTCGCAATTCAACTGTTTTGGAGGACTCCGTGAAGACGTCCAGGCTCCACGTTTAGAGTTAGAGCGCCAGAGTTGCCATTTCGACAAGGGCAAAAAGCCAGAGATGACATCGGCAGGCCAGCCTGATATACAGCTTTTCCACGGCGAAGACGCTCGGACCTGGGGTTGGAGGCTACTAAAAATGGCGATGCAGACCACGGAAAGAACGATTTCAAGGCTTGGCAGCTAGCCGAAGCTTTGGTGCTTTTGCACAAGGCCAGGCCATCTCCTGGCAGTATCGAACTCCCGCTTGCTGCGGTCTACATCGTGGACCAACCAGATCAATATGCGTTGTCATCAATCGGCCGTGACGTTGGATGAGCTATAATCTTTTGACATGTTGGATGAGCATCCCATCCAACTCTCTACCGATCCCAAGCCGGGCCAAAAACATATTGGCTTTCCTTGGCTTACTTTTCAAACACCCAAACAATTGGAAGGCACATTTGCAAATAGAACCCATCCGATCCAATTTGGGTGACCCTAAATGGGTTCTACGATGCTACACACATGCTTGTCCTCGCGCGCGCTCGCTCAACACCTTCAGAACTCTCGCGAGCGCCTCTCCGGGTCCCCGGCTCAGTGGTCGGCGACGCTTTTTGGCGATGTCGAAGCGGTTCCTAGGAGCCATCAAAAAGTCGCAAGCAAACCTTTGCCTTTTGAATTCGCGTTAAAATCACACAAAAAGGGTCATTAGGAGCGGCTACATGGCTGGCATCCCGCCTTTGATTGAACGCGGAGGTGGGGTCCAACTCCCCATCTTGCGTCTTGTTTGAGGGCACCCTGCGAGGGACTGCTTTACATGGGAACTAAAGGGAAACCACCGGATTCTCCCGATTTGGAGACAAACCCACCTGAATAACAGTCCACCAGCAACCGCTCCTCCAACCTAAAATCCCGGCAATCTGTTTGAGTATTTGTCTATTAAAGCACCGTGCCTTGTATGGGTCTGTTTTTTGAGCGCACCTTGTTGTTGTGTTTTTGCTTTTTGCTTTTTTAAGGGAAACCAAATGGAAAACCACAAATTTGGAGGCTCGAGCATTAAAAAACCCACACCCATAAGACATGCTGCGGCGAGGGCGCTGGTGGTTCACCTGGTGGCACTGCCTCGTCAGCTTCGTAGCCGTGCAGAGGGGCTTCCGCCAGTCGTCCTCGCTGCAGAAGCCTCAGGTTGAGCCGAGAGAGAGTCAAGGGTTTGAGCGCATGCCATCATATGGTCGAGGCTGAATTCTTAACTAGCCTCTTTGTTGGTACAGCCATCGGAGGAGGAGGGGGGGAGGAGGACAAACGGGTGGTAGCCAAGGCACTTTACTCGACTGGTGCAGGGGCCGTGCAACCGTTCATGCGGTTCATGTCTCCGTGTGCAAGCAACTTTGGCAAAATGAAAGCTCATGAACCGAGAATGAGAAGTTGCCTACAAAGTACCAGGATCTCGATGGCTCTGTCTCAGTCACATCTCCAAGTGACGTTGGTTAAATTGGTACATAGCACAATACGCTCAATGCCTTGCTTGGAAAGTAGCTCGGATGAACAATCATACAATGAATTCTCACTTACACACTCTGGGGGTTGAGTCATGCCACGTCAAGCTCCGATGTGTTGATCAAGCAAGGGCAAAACACTCGATTCCAAGGCATTCATGACTAAGACACGAGCACTCAATGCCCATTGACTGTTTTTGTTGTAAGATTATTGCACGGGTTTGAAGAACGGCCCTTTCAATTGAATGCCTGTCAAACCAGGGAGAAACTCTTGATCACGCTACTCAAACGGATAGCCCAAACTCCCAAGTGGCCTTCTCCCTGTCTCTGCTTGGGGGGGGAACATACGGGGACGCCCTACTGCAGAAACAGCAGGGGGGGCCCCGCTCTACACACACATATGGGTGTGTCCAGAATGGGTACCCCTTTTTGGCAGGTTTAAAGGGAAACCACCAGCAAAACCACAATTTTGGGGGGTTCCCAAGAGACACACTGATGATGGACGCTTGCGATCTGCACCCTCTTTGGGGTTTTGGCTTCCTGCGCGGCACTGATCCGAGCGGCAGGACACCTCGAAGCTCACCTGCCGGAAACACGTGAACACCCTACTCTTTGGGCAGTAACCTGTGTGCCGAATTTGTTGGGGGACCGAACAACTCCCGTAGGCCCATAGGCATCAAGGTCGCGATTGCGCAGCACGTGCCTATGCTTCCAAAAACGGGGTGCTGTTCAACCCCAGCCCTCGGGGAAATTAGCAACATCTGTTTGGGGGCATGCTCACGGGAGGAGATTGTCTCTCTCCCCGTTGATTAAACTAGCCTGTCACCGAGAAAGCGTAGCGACAAGAACCAGTACGGAAACAAGTGGCAAGCAACGGATCCACCCCAATGATGGAACACAACAACAGCTGACAAAGATTATGATTCATCCATGTCCGCAGATGCATCACTCCAAGATAGTTTCCCCTACCCCAAACCGCTACCCGTAAGGGATAATGTGATATACATACATGTTATGTAGTGTCCTTTTTAATATAGTGATTAGACACCCTGTTTGTCTCTTGAGGTAGTGATTTGGGGGAGGTGGACAGCCTAGAATCAAGCACGCATGTCCCACCTCGCCACAGTTGTCCACAAAGAACTCCAAGAGCGAGCCTCATGCAAATGAGCGGGCGGAAGACGTGGGTTGCCCGGTTGATATGGCGAAGCCCGACCCTTCAAAAAGCCTGTTGGGAGGACCCAACATCAATCAATCGCAGCTCCAAGGACGTGTGATTTGAGCTGGCCACCCATGGATTGGGAGATCTCAAATGGGTTTGAACAAGTGGTTTCGTTTCGCGCTGCCCTTTGGTCGAACCCGCTCATTCAATCCTCTTCAATGGGTCGCGGTCTTGGTCCTTTGGCCCAGCTGTTGTTCCACCCAAACAAGGAGAAACCGAAGTAAAACCATCACGTTCAAAGGATGTCCAGTCCAGGCGCCAAAGCCACCAACTGGCAAAAACTGGCAAAAATTGGCAAAAACTGGCAAAAATCATTGGACATCTTCGCCTGGCCGCCCTGGCCGTCCATCCCTCCAACCCTCGCCGCATCCCAAGGCATCGGCCCAAGCGCACGCCCCGCTGCAGAGGCTCCGAGACTCGCCCGGGTCCCGACTCCGCGTAGGCTGCCAGCCCGACGCCAAGGTCGTCGCGCCGCGCCCGCGCCGCCTCCACCTGAAAACAAAATCGACCGGAACATGTAAAACAAAGGAGAGAGAGAGAGAGAGAGAGAGAGAGAGAGAGAGAGGCACCCTCTTTGCAGTGCAAAAAAAGAGTGTGTGTGTGGTTGTTGTTGGTGCAAAACCAAAGCACAACCAAAGCCAGAAAACCCTCAATAGGGCGAATGCGTTTGATTTTTGGCTGTTTTCAACCACAGGAAAACCCAAGGAAAACCAGGCACCCTCTTTGGTTCAAAAGACCACATCCCCTCCGTGTTTTATCCAAGGAAGGCTCCCTCCTCTAACCACACCGGACGCCCCTAACCATGTCGGACACCCGGTGGTTTGCTCACGCCATGAGGTGGAGACTTAGTTGGTAGAAACGGGGGGGGGGGGGGGGCGGGCCAGGGAGGGGGGGGTTGGCTGAAGCGCCTGGTGCTGTGAATGGGCGATTTGGCTGGGTGGGTGCTTTAGGTGGTTTCTGTGGGTGCAGCATCTCATGCATCTCATACTCCATCTCTTTGCGGGTCGTCCAGGAGAGGTTTCGGAGGGCGTCGTGGCATGAAAACGTACACCATCGTGCAGCATCTCATGCATCTCATAATGTAGGAGAGGTTTCGGAGGGCGTCGTGGCATGAAAACGTACACCATCGGCGTACATAAATGTACCTTTCTGTGCATGTATGCCCAAAAGCACGTGATTCCAGATTCCACGCCAGTCTTCCTCCGGGTGGAAAACGATGGCGTCCTGTCAATGAGACATAGCAAATGGCTACCTTTGCAACCCATAAATGCATTGTATAGCCCCCGAAAACGACAGGCGTAACGGTGTTTGCAGCATGGACGAGGGCTTGGTTGAACAATATGTTGCATGTGTGAAAGCATGATATCAGTACTGCCTTCCTCAAAGACACACAAGAAAGCATGGTGAGGCACAATGTGACAAAAATGATGCCGAGCAGTGACAAGGCGAGCCGCGTACTCCTCTGCTTCAAAGGAATGCACTGCACCGAACCTGTACTTGTGCCCACGCCCCGTTTTGCTCAGAACAAAGTGAGTGCAGCGCGAGAAGACGGCCGGCACTAATGCTCCAAGAAATGGATGCCTTTTGTTGAGGTTACCCTGTTGGGGGTGGTTGAAAAGGAACCCAAAGGGAAGCCATGGATTAGCAAAACCAATAATAGCATCCTACTCTCATCAAGCAGATGAGCGCCCAAAGACGTATGCGAGTTCCAAACATGCCAATGGGCCGGCAGTTGGTTTTTGCGGCAGGATGTGGACCATGTCTTTTTCGCTGAGTGCTCTTCTCGCCTTTGGGAACTGTGTCTTCCAGTCCAGCCAGCACTCAAGTTTTACTCAATATCAGTGAGATCAGTGAGTCGTCCAGTCCGAGGTTCCTCCGACAGCACGAGAGTACATATTGCATCCCAAAGGTGCGGCCAAAGAGAGCAGCAACCAAGCTTCCATCCTTGTCATCTTTCGAAGGCTCTAGCATGGAACCTCAACTAATCCTCTGGTTCCATACGTGGAGAGGGCACCACTCCAGCCTCATCATGGAGGTGACTCTCTTTGTCCTCCAACTCCGCGATCTTCTTCCGCAACATCTGTACATTGTGCTCCTGCAGGGCAGTTGTCCTTGACCTCACACGATCCCTTGTGGCTGCCTAGGAACATGATCGTAAGGTCTTGGGAAGACTCCGGCCAGTTTTGGGGGTGCTGGACTTCAGGTTAAACAACTCAGTCGCAAGGAATCAAGAAAATGACATCTCCAGTAGTTGTGCGTTGCCAGTTGGCTGCCCTGTCATGATGTCACAAAGTGTGAAAATTACAATCCGCTTGGTCCATTGGGCATACTGGCCTTCTCAGACTCTTGGATACATGAACCGCCATTTCCAATGAAAGATTCCCCCCCCCAAAAAAAAGAGATAAACATAACAAATCAAGAAGGTCCTGGATGGCAGGGTGCCAGTTGTCGCCCTTGGACACGCTCCGTGCGAGACTGGAAGCGCTCTGCCCGCGGCTCATCCCGCGGCTCATCCCGCGGCTCATCCCGCGGCTCATCCCGCCGGTCTTGGACCTGGATCCAAACGAGCCGAGTCTGCTGAGTGGCTTCCCATTCATAGTCCTTGAAACAACTTCCAAGATGCCTGCCCTACAAAATGACACGCCCTTTAAAACACATGCGCGAAGCATTGACTCATCGCATACCCATCCCGACAACGGAACCACATGACAAGCAGTCGTTCCCCCAACGACGGACGGGCTTTGCCCAATGCAAAGCCAGCCCAAAACCGCAACCCGGGCCACCTCTTCGAATCGCTGCGCTGTGCGTCTTGCAACGGTGTTTCCTGGCCAAAGGCGTGGAATGCGACATCCCAGCTGCCCCTCCTTCCCGGTCTAAAAGTAAAGCTTGCTGTGGGATATGTGATACATACCTAAGCTCAAAAGCGACAATTTTCCGTGTATGGCTGAGAGCCGCGGAGTGGAAAACGACGTGTTTTGCAGTATTCAAGATTTGAGACACGCCCACATGTCCTTTCTTGTCAGAGGGAAGCTTGTGCGGCAAAAACTCCATGTGACTCTAGCTGTAGGCGACAAGGAAGGCACTGGCTCTGCCTTCGATCGCCATCTCACAAACGCCCAGTGTCAGGTCCCCCCGCCGCCGAGCCAGCCTCTGCCGTCAGCACCTGTCCGACGGCATTGGTGGATGAGGATCCGAATAGCACGCGCAACAAGTCAAGCATGCGCGCAAGTACCTAGGTTGCTCGTGCAAGTGAGATGCTCGTGCCAGTGCCCGGGCGCGCTCTTTCCAGTTTGCTCGCGCAAGTGTGCTCACGCAAGTGTGCTCGCGCGAGTTTGCTCACGCAAGTCTGCTTTTGCGAGTTTGCTAGCACAAGTGTGCTCGTGCGAGTTTGATAGCGCAAGTTGTGCTTCTGCGGGTGTACTCGTGCCAGTGTGCTTGTGCCGATGCGCCCGTGCGAGTTTGCTTGTGCAATTGTGGTCGTGCCAGTGCGCGTGTAATAGTTGGCTTGTTGTGCAAATGGGTGTGCTCGTGCGAGTTGGCAGGCTATTTTTCCGGAAGAACCCTGCTTTCGCGATGCTTTCGTAAAACCTATTGCTAGCACTTCTGCTAACACTCATTCCATTCAGTTGGAGGCCTTTTCTGCAGCCGGATTACGCAGATCAAAGCAATATCTAGCCTGGGCCCAAAACCAGATCAGCCAGTAAGTCATTCCCAAAAGAACTCGGACACCCCCACTTCCCGAAAGCCATTTTGACGATCGGCGCTGACAGGCGGCGATGGTGGCGATAGCCTGGATGCAGGCTCCTAGGTCCCAGCGCGCCTGCCTCAAAACCGAGTCCTGGGCATGTGTCTGCCAGTAGACACTGCTCCCCTCAACGGCGAAACAGGCTTGTGGAAGCTCCCTTCTCACAAATCGGGGACAAAGAAACTCAGGCTTGAGGCGCCGCTTGAAATCTGATGCAGCCGCTGCGCCTGGATCTGTTTCGCCATGCCGCGGAAAGGCGAGACACGATTCTGAGGTTTGGCAAGTCCTGGCCCGGCCAAGCTCGCACATCCGGTGGCGCTTAACGCTGCATCTGCGTGGGCCACCAAGCACCGAGCAACTGGCGATCCAATCTGCCACAACCGCGTTGGCGGAGCCAAGGCCACATGCGCGCGGCTCAGTGCAGTTGGTTTGCCCACATCGTCCCTCGCCGCCCAGCACTCGCTGATCTTGCCGGGAGCTACGAGCTGAGAAAGTTGAGTCACGGTCTTGCACAGCCACTTGCAGGGAGGCGAATGTGCGGGTGCGAGGAATGGTCTAAGCGTGACCCAGCGCTGACAAGACTGGCAACAGGCCGCATCGCAGGCCGCATCGCAGGAGCCCTCTGCGAAAGGCCAAGGCCCTACCGTTAGTCAGCATCATGGGAGTATTGGCAGCTAGGAGTGATTGTACTGCTTTAGCCCGCTGGTCTTAAGCTCGTGGCGCAAGCTAAAGCAATTGCAAATGCCACGCGAATAGTTCCGATGGTTGATAGAGATGTGGCAGCTTTGACGCAGACTCAAATGGTTTAAGCTTGCATGATCCAGCGCTGCAAATGAGTGTGGGCCATCCGATCTTCACTGGACAAGCAACAGGCCGCATCGCAGCCGGAAGGTTTCGCAAAAGTGCTCCTCAAAGCTGGGGCACAGAGACTAAACAAGCAGAAAAAGGTTCCGCAGAACCATTCGTAGTTCCAAGGTCAATACGCGCGATTCTCGCCCTGACGAAAGCTTTATCGAAGCTCGGTGCTAGCCATCCAGGCCTGCGCCCCTCTCCCGAAACTGTCTGAGTTAAGCAGAAAGGTCGCTTTGGCGTTCCGTCCCGGGGGATTGCCTCGCAAAAAGCGGCGTTGTAACCCAACTACTCAAAGGCCACCTCTTTTCAGGAGTCCAACCTGGCTTTCAACCCCAGGCAGCTTGGAGCCGCCAGTAAGAATAACAACCTGGTTTTCAGAGGCCATATGAGACCCCCTTGCAACCTGTTGGTGGCACAAAACTTGTCAAACATTCTCCGTCGAAACGGGTCTAGAAAAGGAGCCGTCCAATCTCAAATTCTTCGCGGCAACCATCACGCATTTCCTCTGCGAATGACCAAAGACCTGCCGTATGTCAGCATCATGGGAGCGGTCAAACCCTATGAGAAGCTAGGCACAAAAACCTGTCATTCCTGCTCTAGCCCGCTGGTCTTCAGCTGCGTGGGGCAAGATAAAACGATCCCAATTGCCACGCGAGGCTTTGACGCAGACTTGGAAGGTTTAAGCGTGATCCAGCGTTGACAAACAAAGTCTGCACTATCCAACCTTCTGTGCTGGACAGGCAACAGGCCGCGTGGCAGGTTGCATCACAGGCCGCATCGCGGGAACACTCTGCGAACGACCAAAGGCCTGCCATTACTCAGCATCATAGAAGCAGTCAAACCCTATCGGCAGCTAGGCGCAAAAGCTTGTAACTACTGTGGGGGTAAGGCAAAGTGATAGCAATTTAAGCAGGATCCAGTGCTGACAAGCGACTGGACAGGCAAGAGGACGCATCGCAGCCCCTGCGGAAAGCACCCCTTGCCCTGCAGCGAGCAGTCTTGACTTTGGACGTGTGGCTCTGTCTGAAATGTTGACTATTAAGCAGAAAGGTTGCCTTGCCCCGTGGGAGGGGATTAGCGGGGTTGCCCAACTAATCAAAGGCCACTTCCTCTTGCAGGACACTTTCCACAACTCAAAAGCTGGGACCTTGGCATCCCTATGCTGATGGCCCATGAGAGAGGCGCTGCACTTGCAACGCATCATTTGCTCTAAGCACTGTCGCAGTTGGCGGCTATAAATATTCAATTGATTGAGTTATCATGCCGTTACGCTTGACATGCGATTGGAGCATCACGAACTCAGACTGTCAACGGCCAAAACCCCAGACAAACGCAGCACAGGCTCTGGGAAACGGGAGAGCAGGCCGAGCTGACGGCAGTTTAATTCTAGGATGGGTGAGCTCTTGCCTACCTGATATCAGGGTCGGCGCGTGGTTGACTGTGGCCTTACAAGGCACTCATGGCGCTGCTGCCACCCGTGGTTCGCCGACACGATCGCTGCTCACAAAATGCTCAGGTCACAGTTGCGCTGACTGCGGCACGAAAATTGCGAGACCCAGCGTCGACAAACAGTCATCAAAATCCGACCTGTCTGCGCTGAACATGAAGTGGGCCGAATCATGCACCTTGCACTAAGAATGCCTTGCCTGACTTTCGATTTTAGCGGTAGAGGCATTGTGGGTTGTGAGCATCGCTTCTTTTGTGCCTTTGTGTTTAAGACAGGGAAATTGGTCGCATTCAACTTGGCACATGTGAGCTAGCGGCAAAACCTAAGACTACTTTGGGCGATTTCGAATGTTAAGTTATCGTTTTTGGGGTTTCCCTATATCTTTCCTGAAGATTTCTGACACTCATGTGTTCTCAATGTCATTGTGTCCCTGCGCAAACCCTTGGCTTGCTGCTTGCAAATCACTTCAAGCTGAGTTTTGACAATTTGATGTTTAACAGAATCAAACTCAGAGCATCACTCGCATACTTGGGACCCCATTTTATTTGGGGAAGTGGGCCACACCCACGCGGGCCCAAGAATGCGTAGCGAGGAAGGCTTCATGCGAAAGACCATTCCACGCAAGGTGCAGTTTGACTGCCCCCATTCGAACAAATGCAAAATCACAGCGCTATCATGCTGTCCTCCCACAAAAGTCGACACGGGTGTGGGCAGACAAGAAAGCGCAACTTGCTCAGGAGAAGTCTCCTCTCCAGGCCAATGATGTGAGAAAGCGCGAGTTGCAGCTTTGGCCAGGTTGGGTTCACTGACGCACAAGCGCACCATTGCGCGGCCAGCGCCGTACTGGTTTGTCAGGCGCGGCTCAACACGAAGGTCCGAGTGCAAGGCCTGACCTCAGCAAGCAGGTCGCATTGTGTTTTGGCAGAAGCGAGTGCACGCTGGTCTCACGCAGGTCTACAGTCGAAGTTCACCACTTTGCTTGAACTCAAGCCGAGGGTGAACTTGTTCCCTGGCATCTTCGTTTATTCTGGGAGAACAGTGAGACGAAGCGAAAGCGATGTCTCAAGCATTCGGCCCACCAAAATCAATTTGGAGAGCGGCGGGCCAATATCGGGGTGGCACCGAGGGCGCCGAGGCTGTGGAGGTCCGGGGCTCCGTCAAGGTCTGGGGATCTTTGACCCTCAGCGTGCACGAACTCGATGGAGGCGAGGCATCCTCAGGCAGTCTTGGGTGTAGGGGCCTCTACCAGAGGGCCCACGGATACTATATGTGGATCCTCTATAGCATCAGCTGTTGGTACAACGCCGTAATTGCAGTGAAGACCAGAGGTAACTGATGGGGATGTCTTGTTGCGCATGCCTACCAGCGACAAGCGATATTGGTTCGAGTTGGCAGCAACAAAACGGAAACATTGCAAGCATTGCGGCAACCTCAACTTGGACTAGGTGGGGGGGGGGGGGGGGCAAACTGGACTGCCATTCTTCTCGACGTACTTCTTGTAGCCCATCGTTGCTACAGGGAATCCAAATTGCCTGCTCTTGATCAGCGGCGCAACCGAAAACCATGATGAGCCATTGGCTTCGCTAGAAAGTGTCTGGGAAACTTGAGTTTGCATGTCAGCTCTCCCATGGCCTGTGGTGCAATATGGCATTTGAGGGCTTCGACGCAGAACAAACGAGTTGGCTAATTACAACGTAAACATGTTAGAAAGGAGCAGCCTCTCCTCCCCCTTTCGTCAAGGTGCTGGTCTCAAGCGTCTGGCCACTCAAAAGGACGCCACTGAGCTCCTGCCGAAAGCAGGGGCCAGCTGCAGCTCTTGTGGCTCAGCGGCCCATAGCTATTTAATCGTTTCACATGTTTCGCAAGCACCGCGATCCGTCTTCAAGCGACGCCTAAAAATGTTCAGGATTCTCCAGGCTTACCTGCCTTACCTGCACAGCTCAAGCTTTCCGAGGGATGTGATGAAAACAACCACAACAACATCATTGTAGTTCTTGGCCCTCTCTGTCTTCTACGAAATCCACAAAAATCAACACACGCAAGCCTGAAAAAAGAACACTTCTGGCTTGGTTACTGGCCAAGCCCAAACCCTTTGCGCCTCCAAACAAGCTCTCTGAAGACGCTGCAGCTTTGCCATGGCCGGCCGCAAATGATGTGTAAGACCACAACGGATGTCTGAATGGTTCCCCAAGCGGACAGGGGCTAAATGGGATCTCCGGCAATGACGAGTGCGTCCCCAAAGGGACACGGAAAAAATAGGGCCTGTGTGCATGTATTGATGATGTTTCCTGAAAGGGAAAAAAAGGAACAAACTCGGGCTCACGCCCAGAGGGACGGGAGAAAATGAGGCCCAGACGTGTCTCAGAATGGGGAATGCAAAAGTGCTAGCTACGAGTACAGCGTTGAAAAATCTGAAAGCACTCGGGCCAGAAGAAAGGCACCGCAAACAAGCTTTGTTTTCAAGCGGCACTTGCACACAGCAACCGTGTAACCGCAAGCGCCCCCCCCCTTGCCGTGGCTCAACGTGCTCCGCACCTCTGAATCTCTACTGAGAACAAGCAAGTCAAAGCATGGTACGACCTGTTATCTGTTGCATATGGGTCAAAGATATCTGTACGAACAGGATGGTTCAAAATTGATTGGTTTCGGTCAGCTGCTCGAGCACAAGCCAAGGTATGGGCCGGTGTGAAACCCTTCAGCACTTGCACACAAAAGGCTTGGGTTGGGTCTGCCTAGAAGCTCCCTGAAGCCATGATTTTCCGGCCAGCCTCGTGGTCCGCCTCAATCTTCGCCCTCTGCTCATGCGGACCTTCCCATTCTTGTTTGGCCCCCTCCGACCTTTCACCCATCTCGTGCATCTCGTCCCACTCCTTATCTCCCTCCTCCTTCGCGCTCCTCTCATGTTCGCCTGCCTTCTCTTCCTTGCGTTCCTTCTCCTTATCGTCCGTTTCCTCCTCAACCTTCTCTTCCCCCTTGCCGCGCTCTTCATCCTCCTCTCCAGCGAGTGGGAGCAAGCTGCCGACCCAGTTCTGATTGAAGCAGCTAGACTTGTCAGGGTAGTCCGCTCACCATCCAACTCAATGGCAGTTCACATGCCATGTCCAAACACACAAACACACAAAACAAAAACAACAAAAAAACCGACACAGTCACTGATTCACACACACACATATACGCACACACACACACACACACACCCTTTCACGCACGCATGCACGCACGCACGCACGCACGCACGCACGCACGCACGCGCTCACGCGCTCACGCATATCGCATAACCAAGAATGACGCCTGCAAAGGCAGGGCAAAGTTGACACACAAAAGAAGAATAGAGCTGATGGCATGTCCCTCGACGTATTTGCGCGTTTTCTTTCAACATCGCGTCCATGGCTTCAATCGAAGTCCAAGTGAGAGAGTCGATCCGCGGCCTTCCAGTCGTCTGCCGCCAAAGCTTCTTGCAGCTCTGACTCCAGCTGCTCGCGCTCTGCCTAACCAGGCAGGGTGTCCGGAGAGGACCAGGGAGAGTCCAAGATAAGCTGCGTCATGTCTTTACACATGAACCCCTTCAACCAGGCAAACTGACCAGACCAGACTGCCACGAGTACAGGGTCAGCCTTGCCGCAATTCACATGCACTTCCCGCCTTTGTACATGGAGTGTCGAAGTCATCAAGCCCTATGGTTTTCGAACCGAACAGGGTCCCACTATGTCCCACCCCTTCTGATCAACCCGCACAACTCCTCCCCCTTCGTGCAAGCAACGAAAAAGTCATCATCTACAGTTTACGATTGTAAAGGTATTAACAACTCGCCAGTCCACGACCGTAGCCATCTGTGCCGTCCGTTCATATAAGGGGCTAAAACTTCCTCACACACGCACAATGTTTATTATCTTATGATCATAGCTTCATTTGGCCCTCAAGTCCCATCCAAGTCACGGGCAAAATCGCTCCTTCTACCCACAGCTTTCGTCATAGAACGGGCAGAAACCATGATTTCGGCCCTTGCACCTTCCCCAGCAAGTACCCCGCACCCCCATTAGAAGGCATCTCATCCGTCCATCTCATCCCCCACCTGCGCACTGCTCTTCTCACCCTCCAGCTCGTCCAGCAGCGCCGCGAGTTCCTGCGAGCTTGCGAGCTCGGATGCCTTGGAACCCGTGAAGGCCCGATCCACGAAACTCCCTGACAAATCTATGCGTCAACTGACGTAAGTAGCTGATCAACTTATCATCTTGGCTATGAGGTTTCCTCTCTGGTGACCACGAATGGGAAACCGGACTTGGACATTACTTGTGACCTGGGAAGGTGAAATCTGAAATTCCCAAGCGACCTGCAAGGCCCCTGGGCCCTTGGCGAACTGAGGCCTCTCCAGATGTTGGGTCGCATGCAAATGGGATCAACATTTGACGCGCATCATTTGGAGGCGTCGAATAGGATATCACATTGACAAAGGGAAGCCTCCTCGGCCACTTCTCTTTTGAAGGGGGCCAAACCTGTTAGGTTCCGTATTGGTTGGGAAGGCCACCACAGTGGATGAAAAGCCTGGTTCCAAAATTGCATTTTCCATCTGCGAGCTGCAAGATCTATGCGCAAGTGGGCTAGAAGATTCTTCGTGCGAAGGCGGCCCGGCGAAAATTGCGGAAGGATTCCGACTTGAACGAAAAAGGTGAAACTGCTCGGCCACGCCAAGCAAAGAGGTGCCACTTCTTGCGCTCTCAGACTCTCACGACAGAGTTGCTCTTCCTCGACCTGAAACGGAGGGAAGAATTCATAGCCCTGGAAAGGCGACCTCCGCTTTGCGCTTGCAAAAAAAATATGTCCTCCACTTTGCAAACCAAGCCCATTGAAAAGATTCCCCCAGTCGGGCATGTTGGTCGACCTTGGGAACAGCCACTGCATCTCCCCAGCGAGGCCTGTGCATTGGGCACATAGGTGTCCTCTTGGAAAAATAATACAGATGGCACTAATATATATATATATATATATATACATATGTGTATATATATATGTATATATTCTAAGCAGACCGAAACCATTGCCATCTGTCAACCAAAGTGACACCGAGGGCCCTACTCGCTTTGCATCTCACGCTCCCAGCAGCTCGAGGGCGTTGTCGCCCACCACCAGCAACGCCACCAGGGCGACCTGTCCGAAGACCTACCCTTTCTCCGTTTCACTGAAGGCACCTCGAGGGTGTTTCTACTGGGACCACGGATTGAAGTAGAACCCCTGGTTGATTAATAGGGTCACCTTCTTTCTGGTGGGGATTCGTCACTTTTGGAAGGGAAGACCCTTCTATTCGGAGGACGGGTTGACTAATCGGTCAACATGACCTGAAGGTTCGGCTTTGAATCACAGGCGCCATGCCTTTTGGTTGGTTACGGAAAACAAAAGGAGACAAACCAAGAAAGAAAATTCATGTCAAACGAGTGCATGTCTTCCTTGGTTTGCCCTTCCAGTCCGGCCGGAGTCACGACCTCGCATAGCCCCAATTCTGGCTCCCTTTCCGAGAGGATCAAATCTCGCGGCTCATTTTCAACACTATCTTGCCAAAACTGTTTTTTGTAATGTCCTTCTTGCTTGGACCCACCCACCTAGTATCCGGCTCCCCCCCCAAAAAAATATCCCGCAAATCTCCGTTGCACTCGGAACGGACCGCCCAACAACACGCCCAGGCGCCGCCAGCGGCACCAGCGGCCCTCCAGGCACCAGCGGCCCCCGCTTGTAGCCCCCCAAGAAGCCTGGCTTCCGAGCCAGCAGCGGAGACTCCTCCGGTCCGAGTCTCGAGCGAGCGGCTGGCTGGTAGCTTGGGGTGTGCGGCAGGGATGTGGTTTACATGGGTCGGTCTTTCTTTGGAGAGTACCGGTCCCTTTTTTGGCGGTTTAGGGAACTTAAAGGGAAACCAAAGGAAAACCACAATGGAGGGTTCCCCTGAAAAGACACCCCATGGTGATAAGCAGGGGACTTGGCTTGTCCTCGTTTGCCTCAACCATGTTGGTCTTGCTCAGGAACCAAAGTAGAGATTTGCCTATGGCTGTACTAGGCGGTTCCATGTGGGTGAAAGCAACTTGGCATCAGCACCAAGACCGTCCTGGGCGCGCTGCTGCAGCATCATCCACGCCGGAAGCAGGCCGAAGAGCGTGGACACCCCGAAGGCCCCAGCCTCACACCGAAGTGCAGAAGATGGCCTCACCCCGTAAGCCACGTACCGTGTATCTGCGAAGCTGAGCTTATCATGGCCATTACACTCTGCATGAAGCCCCATGTGTCCATGCTTGCTGCAACTCCTTGTGCCGGCATCATTGCATTCAAAGCAACACTTGCCGAAGCTATACACTGGCACAAAGAGACGAAGAGAAGACATATCGAAAACAGCAAAGCGCAAAAGAAACCAAGCTTCCAACCGCCCAACCGCATCCACCAGCCCTCACCTCCAGCCCCCCCCCCCCAAACCCTCCATTCCCCCCACGCCTTGTCGATGGCCTGGAAGAAGAGGCTTGGGTCCAGGCACGCCACCAGTACCGGCACCGCCAGCGTCAGCCCAAAGTCCCGAACCTTCGTCGCCTCATTCGTCGCCTCGGTCTCCCGGTCTCCGAGCAGATCGGCGAAAAAGTCCGTGAGGGCCACCTGTCAGACGCGAAAAGGCGAAACCGAGACCCGAAAGCGGGCGGACATCATGCATTCCAAAGCGGAAGCCTTCCTTATCTGACATAATCTTTCTTCATCATCTTGTGAGGTCCTGATTCACCAGACTAAAGCGGATCTGCTTACACAAAACACATGCAAATTATCCCCCGGAATGCCGCGCCACGGACATGGAGCAGGCGGTATTCAGATTCAGATGCAATCAGGTCAGGCATCCCCAGAACCCCGCAACACGAAACCGCAAACGCCGGCAGCCCACCACGAAGCCCACGAAGGAGGTGACAATGGCACTCAGCGAGAAGGCGACGATGCCGCCCGAGACCATCCTCAGAGCAAAGGAATTCCCTTTTCCAATCCCAATACTTCCCCTACCTTAAGCGGGGTGGGGGAAAACATGTGAAAAGGATGGCCCTGGGGTGGGGGTTGAATGTGGGGGGGGGGGGTTTGATTAAGCATTTGCTCTGAACATATCAACATTGCACCAATGGAATTCCCGGGGTCACCCTCCCCCAATTCCTTTTAGTGGGTATCCCAATCTGATTCAGAGCCCAAGCAAACAACTCGGAAATGCTGGGAAGCGGTGGTTTCTTTTGGGTGTCCCTCTACCTGTGTTGGGCACCTGAAAAAGGAAAAGAAAGAGGAAGGGACTCCGAAAAGGGGCCAAACACTCAAAAAAGCGCTCTCCAAAAGAGGGAGGACCTAGTTCTCCAAAACACGGTACCAAACAAAGCGTAATTACCAGCAGCATGGCCCCTTTCAATTCAACCAAGCCGGATGAGGATACCAACTCAAACAATGTAGATGTAGTTTCGTTTAGGCTTTTCATTTCCAAGCCGAAACAGGTTCAGCTTCCCTCCAATTGGTGGTTTGGATTGGTAGTTTGGTAGTTTGGTGGTTTGCCGGTTTGGTGGCTTGGGGTGGTTTCCCAGTTGCTCCAAACAAGACCAGGGTCCCCAAACCACATATCCTACCCACCATTGCGGGGCTATGTGAGAGGTAGCAGCGCGCAAAAAAAAACGCCACATGGGTGTCTTTTTTGAGGGTCGCCCTTTTTGCATAGGTTTCAAGGGAAGGAACAAAGAGGCCAACCTAACCGCCCTTTTCGGAGGTTCCCAAAAAGACAAAAAGACGCTCCTAAACCCCCTCCGTGTCCAATTCCGAACGAGGCGCGGGTTCCCCGATGCCCGGAGCAGCTCCAGTGGGTCCCCGCCACCGGGAGGCAGCGCCGCCAGCACCGCGGCGTTCCAGACCACGAACCTCGCGGTCCGGTTCATGTTTCGGAGCCAATGGGGTCCAGTGGCTCGTTTTTCTGGGGATTTGAATTTGGATGGCTAGAATTTGTTTAGCCAAACAGAAATAAATGCTCACGCCGTTTTAGGGAACTATGTTGAGAAACCCCGAAGGGTATGTGTAGTAGGGGGCCACTTTGGTGGCCTTCCTTTTCGTTTAACCGACCTGAGAGAGGGCCAGACCTGAATTGGTCGCCGTTTCAAACTTGAGGGTTGTCTCAAAGAAACCAAAGAGTGGGAAAAGGGAAGCAGGATATGGGAAGCTTCGCTGACAAGACTCAGTTTCAAGGTAAATGGTTCAAAGGACTCAAAGGAGAGGGAAACACAGTTTTGTCAACAACGGGGGAACCCGGGACCTTAAAAGGAACGAACCCCTCCGTGACTGCGACCTCTCCCTTAACCTTGTGGGGCAGCGCGTACAAACGCGCCTTTTCAGCTTGAGCCAAAAGGCAGTGATTAGATCATGCTCAGGCTTTGAACATTGACTTGAATGTACAACATGCAACTGACTACATGAGAACCTACCTCATGTACCTCTGGGCCATAAATGTCATCGTGATAACTGAGGGAGTGTCTTGGGCGCATTACCACGCCAACTTGAAGTCAAGTTTACATCACAACGACTGACGCAAGTTATTCAAGCATCGCCCAGGCACTTTGCACACTTTTGGGAAATTTTGCGGACATGCTGCAGCGCACTAGGCAGCTGCTTTAGCGGCTCTACTTTCACGAACGTCTTCTAGCTTCTCTGGAAGGTCAACACGAATGCCGAGCAACCGGATGGCATGGTCCCACTTGTTGGGTGGAAGAGCTTTCGTGAAGATGTCTGCTGACTGCATGTCGGTTTGGACGTATTCTATCGAGATGTGTTCGCTTTCCAGCTGTTCAGCGATGCACGCGAGGTTCACCTTGTGGGTGCGCTGGACACAGCGTAGCTTGGATGAGAATCCTTTCTTTGCTACGAGGATAGTCGCCTGGTTGTCCTCGTGGATCTTGAGATGGAATGGTCGGTCCAAGATCAGCTCCCATAAGCTGAGCGCAGGGAGCGCCTCCTGATAAAGGGAGTACGCGAGGGATACGATCTCCGCCTCGGTTGTCGATCGGGAGACCGAGGTCTGCCTCTTAGACACCCATGCAAGGGGGAAATGCGTATGCGGACCACTCAAAGTCAAGAATCCTCCGGACGTTG